TGCCAGGAGGAAGGGATAGTTAGAGAGCTTGAGATGGCCAAGTACACACTGCTATATTTAAAATGGATAATCAACAAGAACTTATTGTATAGCTCAGGAAACTCTGCTCAATGTAATGTGGCAGCCTGGATGGGAGAGGATTTGGAGAGAATGGATACATGTATATGTATGGCTGAGTCCCTTTATTGCTCACCTGAAACTATCACAACATTAATCAGCTATACGCCAATTTAAAAAAATGTTCAAAATAAAAAAGAATGAATGTGTGAAATAGTAGGGTCTAGGATATGTTTCCAATACTCATCTGACCTGCATGCTCTAAGGGAGGGGTGGGTGGGACATGTGAAAGAAAGGGAAAGTTGAAGTCTGAACTGCAAAAGAAATCAGAAGTGAAATGAAGCCAGACACGTTTCTATGAAGTACGGAGAAGAGGGAAATCCATAAATAGAGAAAGCTGGTAGGTGGTTGCCAGGTGCCAGGGGGTTGAGGAATGAGAATAACTGTTTCATGGTAGAGAGTTTCCCTTTGAAATGAACAGAAAATTCTGGAACTATTAATTAATAGAGGTAATGGCTGCACAACATTACAAATATACTAATGCTGTTTAATTGGTGAAATTAAAATGGTGAAAACAGTAAACTTTATGCTGGGTGTATTTTAAATTAGAAAAGAAACTGGATACACATCCTTGCTCTCAAGAGAAATTTAAAAGTAGCCAAAATTAGCACAGAGAACTGTGATCAATATCTTGTAGTAACCTAGAGTGGAAAAGAATCTGCGAAAGAATGTATACATATATGCTGTGCTGTGTTTAGTCACTCAGTCATGTCTGACTCTTTGAGACCCCCTGGACTATAACCTACCAGGATCCTCTGTCCATGGGGATTCTCTAGGCAAGAATACTAGAGTGGGATGCCATGACCTCCTCCAGGGATCTTCCCAACTCAGGGATCAAACCCAGGTCTCCTGCATTGAAGGTGGATAATTACCAGCTAAGCCATGAGGGAAGCCCATGAATACTGGAGTGGATAGCCTATCACTTCCCCAGGGAATCTTCCCAACCCCAGAATTCAAACCAGGGTCTCCTGCATTGTATGTGTGTGTGTATATACATATATATATATGTATATATATATACACATATATATATGTATATGTATATATAAATTACTTTGCTGTACACCTAAAACACACACTGTAAATTAACAACACTGTAAAATAACTATACTTCAATTTTTTAATGATTAAAAAGGTAATAAATAAATTTGTGCTAAGTCGTTCATTCTGGCTCTGAGTGAGAGACTACACCATCGTGGTATCTGGGTCATTAAGATCTTTTTTGTACAGCCAGACATTCTGGAGTGTGAAGTCAAGTGGGCCTTAGGAAGCACTGCTGCCAGTAAAGCTATTGGAGGTGCCGGAATTCCAGCAGAGCTATTTAAAATCCTAAAAGATGATGCTATTAAAGTGCTGCACTCAAAATGTCTGCAAATTTGCAAAACCCAGCAGAGGCCACAAGAATGGAAAAGGTCAACCCTCATCCCAGTTCCCAAGAAGGGCAGTATCAAAGAATGTTCACACCACTGGACAATTGTACTCATCTCCCATGCTAGAAAGATCATGCTCAAAATCCTGCATGCTACATTTCAGCATTACATACACCAATAACTTCCATATGTCCAAGCTGGGTTTAGAAAAGACACAGGAACCAGAGATCAAATTGCCAACATTTGCTGGATCTTAGAGAAACCAGAGGAATTCTAGAAAAACATCTACTTCTGTTTCATTGACTACACTAAAGCCTTTGATTGTGTGGATCATAACAAACTGTGGAAAATTCTTAAAGAGATGGGAATACCAGACCATATTACCTGTCTTCCTAGAAGCCTGTATGCAGGCCAAGAAGCAACAGTTAGAATCCTGTACGGAACAACTGACTGGTTCAGGATTGACAGGACTACGACAAGGCTGTTTATTGTCACCCTGTTTATTTAACTTATATGCAGAGCACATCATGGGAAATGCCGAGCTGGATGAGTTACAAGCTGGAATCAAGATTGCCAGGAGAAATGTTAACAACCTCAGATATGTGGATGGTAACACTCTAATGGCAGAAAGTGAAGAGGAAATAAAGAGCCTCTTGATAAGGGTGAAGGAGGAGAGTGAAAAAGCTGGCTTAAAACTCAATATTAACTAAAATCATGGCATCCAGTCCCATCACTTCATGGCAAATAGAAGGTGGAAAGGTGTAAGCAATGATAGATTTCCTGTTCTTGAGTTCTAAAATCACTGCGAATTGGTGCGTACAGGCATGAAATTAGAAGACAGTTGCTTCTTGGCAGGAAAGCTATGACAAACCTAGACAGTGTGTTCAAAAGCAAAGACATCACTTTGCTGACAAAGGTCCATATAGTCAAGGCTATGGTCTTTCCAGTAGTCTTGTATGGATGTGAGAGCTGGACAATAACGAAGGCAGAGCGTTGAAGAATTGATGCTTTTGAACTGTGGTGCTAAAGAAGACTCTTGAGAGTCCCTTGAAAAGCAAGGAGATCAAACCAGTCAATCCAAAAGGAAGTCAACCCTGAATACTCTTTGGAAGGATTAATGCTGAAGCTGCAATACTTTGGCAACCTGAGGGGAACAGCTGACTCACTGGAAAAGCCCCTGATGCTGGGCAGATTGAAGGCAGAAGGAGAAGAGGGTGACAGACAATGAGATGGTTGGATGGCATCACCAATTCAATGGACATGCACTTGGGCAAACTCTGGGAGATGGTGAGGGACAGGGAAGCCTGGGGTGCTGCAGTCCATGGGGTCGTGAAGAATCAGACACAACTTGGCAGCTGAACGACAAGTCAACTGACTCAGTAGTGTCCAACTCTTTGTGACTCCGTGGACTGTAGCCCACCAGGCTCTTCAGTCCATGGGATGTCCCAAGCAAGAATACTGGAGTGGGTTGCCATTTCCTCCTCCAGGGGACCTTCCTGACCTAGGGATCGAAACTGCATCTCCTACATCTCCTGCGTTGGCAGACAGATTCTTTCACTGAGCCACCTAGGAAGCCCATAATAAATGAAACTTTACAAAACCACATTACATTCATTAATCAATTCTTGCAAGAATATCAACAACAAACAAGTAGCCAAGATTTAGTGAGCACCTACTATGTGCCCAGCACTGAGCATCACCTGGCCTGGTCTCCCAGGACCTCTACTATTGGGATGCCACCATTGGCCTGTCAACTAGGAACACTGATGCACAGACCTATGCCCCCAGTTTCTAAGACTCTGACCTCTGCCCTGGAATCCAGCTGAAATGCAGATTCTAACTCAACAGGCCTGGGTGGGGCCTGCGACTCTGCATTCCCAGAGTATGCTGCCAGTCCAGGGTCTACACCTTGAGATGAAGGTCTGAGGATTCTGAGCAGCTCCCCTCCCCTCCCCTACTCAGTTATGTCAGTCTCGCTGGCCACCATCAGACAGGTTTGGCCTTGCCGGGAGGGGGTTAGGAGAGCATGCCAAGGGCCCTGGCCTGTCTGTCACCATGAAGACAGTTGGCTTGAAAGATCCTAGAATAGGATCTTCCCTCACTTGCCCTTGGCTACTAAGAGCCCTCTTGTCCTATAAGCATTTTGAAAAGAATGAGAAAACAAGTAAGTCAAACCTTCTGCTGGGGCTATGATGTTCAAGAGCTGCACTTGGCATTACTTTGCAGGTCATTTACCCAGTAATTTGTTCAATGTCAAATCCACCCTTGGGGGACTTCCCTGGCGGTCCAGTTGGTTAAGACTCTACACTTCCATTGCAGGGGGCATGGGATTGATCCCTGCTGGGAGAACTAAGATCCCACACGCCAATGCTGCCCACCACCCTCCACCACCAAAAAAAAACACCTTAAGAAAAAAAAAATCTGCCCTTTACCTCCAGAATCTTAGTTCCGATCTTTCCACTTACTTTGGGGGAGCAAGAGGGGCAGCACTGAGGTAAACCAGTCTTATCTAGAGTGATGATGGCATTTGTGTCAAGTAATATCTTTATGTGCTCAATGACTCAGTCCTTTCCGACTCTTTGCAACCCCATGGACTGTAGAGCCCGCCAAGCTTCTCTGTCCATGGACTTCTCCAGTCAAGAATACTGGAGTGGGTTTCCATTTCCTTCCACAAAAACAGAGTTAGGCACGGTGCATTGGTTGGAACACCTTTATGCGTCATGCATATCCCAGTGTTTTAGAGGAAAACATCGATGGGATAGTCAGCTACTAAGACCTCTGGAGTTGGGAGCTTTCCTGCAAGCCGGGGCTTGGGTTTGGAAGGTCTAGAAGCCAAGCCGGGGGTGAGGGGCCAGCGTCAGCCATAGACACAGGAGATTGCCTTTCTCCCTACCTCCCCATCCCCCCACCGCCATCCCCCAGAGACCTAAGACTGTCCCTGAAAGAGCCCGCAGGGGAAATGGCAGGTCTGCCCTGAAGTTGGCGACTCTGAACAGGAAACTCAGGATGGAGCCGGAATACCTAGTGGAGATCCCTACCCTACTCCCACCCCCGCACCTAGGAGCTAAGGAAGGAGGCGGCCCAGAGAAGAGCGCCCCCTCTTGTCTGTTCAGCCACGGCGGAGGCGACTGCCTCCTGGAAGCTATTTTGTCCTCCTGTTTACATTTCCTTTTGATTCCTTCTTCCAGCTCAGCCACTCGGGAACCCTCAAAGCCCGAGCCCCGGGAAAAGGCAGAGGAGCCCAGCCCGCGGGGCGCTTCCCCCTCCCGCCCCCACCAGCCACGTGTTCTCTGAAGCTGTCAGCGGGCGAGAGCCAGAGAGGAGAGTGATTGCTCTCATTTCTTGAGAAATAAAAGCCACCCAGAGAGTCAGCTCTGTCCAAACATTTCCTAAAGGGAGGGGTTGGTCTAGAGGGGTGCCAAGCACCGTCTCTGCTTTTCATTTGGAGCAAGGGAGGGCAGAATATTAAATATTAAACAGAACAAGAGGTTGCCTAAGACGGCGTAATTATTCTCAACAGCCATCTGCCATCTCCCTTTTTCCAAACGCATTCACGCTGCTTAGAGCAGAGCAAACACGGACCGGCGACCCGGGCGTCGCGAACTTTCGTTTCTGGGACCACCACACCGCCCCCCACCCCACCGCAAAGTCGTAGGCGATGGGGGCGGGGAAGGCGCGCGAGATTCCAAGCTCCGTCACTTGGTCCAGCCTGCCTGGATCTTAAAGCAAAAAGAGACGGATTTAGACTTGAGTGATGGCCGGGGGCGGGGCGGAGGACAGGAGACGCGGTTGGGGAGAGACATCTGAAAAAAAGTAGAATCAGACTTCGCTTAGAAACTATGATCATCGGGGAAATGTCACAGGTCCAGAGCAGGTGGCAGAGACGTCAAGTACTAATCGAGGGCTAAGGGCAGTTGAGAGAAAATGGATATTTCAGCAAGAAGTAGAAGCTGGAAAGAAGGGGGTCTGCCCCCAGCAAGAGAAGCTGCAGAGAGAAATAAACTGCCCACCCCCAAAGAAAAACTATTCAGAGGAAGGAAGGGGTCATTGGGTTCTTACCTTTGCCTATACAGGTAAGGTTGCAGCAAGGAAATAAAGATTAGACTCCCTGCAGAACTCTGCCCCCCAGATTGTATCTCACACTCACCTGTCCGGCATGGGCTCTGGCGCTCAAGCTGTGTGGTTAGTGGGCAGCGCAGCGAGTCCTCCGGCTGTCCTGAGGGTCCCACCTTGTCAGTACCCAGGGGTTCAAGCCCGCAGATGCCCACGCATCCATTGCCTGCCCAATGGAAAGGAAAAAGGGGCCCCGGAGAAAGGAGAGAGAAAGGGGATGCCAAGAGCAGCCAAGCTCCGAGCTGAGGGCTCCCCACCAAGGCAGGTGCCAAATGGGGCCTCTGTGCCAGCTGACGGGGGGGGGGGGGGTGGGTAGGGAGAAGGAAGAGGAGGAGGTTTCCCTAACGTTGGGAGGAGACAGGGGTGGACTAACGTGTCATCAGCCCCTGATCATCCCCAGCAAAGTACTTACTGCTTGGGAACCCAGCACAGGGAGACTATCCAGCCTCCCATCCACAGTGTTCCTCAGAGGAAAATAAAAGGGAATTCTTACTCTCCTCTCTCTGCCCCTTAACACTGGACCGCGACCTCCCAGCACCGGGCAGGACTCTCTGGAAGGATGCTGTGTATCACCCCTCTACCTTCTTCCAGAGCAGCTTCTCTTAAGGAGCCAGGAAAGGCTCTGTCTCTCCTACTTAGTGGGTTTGCGGAAGGGGCGTGTGTAGCAGGCGGGAAGCAGCATGGATGTGGAATCACACTTATAATTTAACCATCTCCCCTCCGCCAGATTACAACCTAAATTATTGATGCCCTTACAAAAACACTAATTAGAGGACAGCTGCTAACCCCACCCCACCCCCAGTCTCTTCTGTTCTCTGGCAAAATAGCTTCTGTTTGAGCTCCCTCCCACTCCCTTAAGGCAAAGGGAGTTGTATGATTTGAATACAAAGGCAGCAAGAAGAAAATTTGAGTCTTTGGATGCAAAGAGGCAATTGATGGCAAGCTTCACAGGTTTGTTTGCTGCACGGGTAGACTTAGGTTTCCAAAACTGGGGTGACCCTCTTTCTCCTTTTAAAGGAGGCTCCTTTTAAAGATGAGCTGTATGTCTTATAAGAGGCATCTAGGGCAGAGAGAAGCCTCATGATTGGAGTCAGGTGGAGTCAAAATGGGAGGATTTACCTCACTGGGGAAAGAAGCATTGTTTAGACAGGAGCAATTAAACCTGGGCTGGGTGTTAGGGAATATTAAAATTAGTGTTCTTTTTATAAAGTTTCTTAGTAGTATTTTGATTGTGCCCAGTCCTGTCTGACTCTTAGCTGCCCCATAGACTGGAGCCTGCCAGGCTCATCTGACCATGGGATTTTCCAGGCAAGAATACTGGAGTGGGTTGCCACTTCCTACTCCAGGGGATCTACCATACCCAGGGATCAAACCCATATCCCTTGTGTCTCCTGCATTGGCAGATGGATTCTTTACCACTGTTACCACCTGGGAAGCCCAGTATTTTGATTCCGTTGTTTTTAAAAGTCTTTATGTATTAGGGATGCATATTGAAGTATTTATGCTTAAGGTGATAGGTCATTTCCAAGAATAATGAATGAATAAAATTTCAGATCCTCTGTAAGAGGGAAGAAGAAATGTGACTCCATATTGAATCTTTTACTTTAACCTTTGTAGTCTATTGCTTTTGCTACAATAATGTTGCCTATAGCCTGAACTATACTGGATAGCCCATTTTCAAGCCTCTGACCTTTAAAGGTGTAACACTTTCCCATTCACATAGAGATAAAAAGTTGCAGAAGGTGGAGAAGAAAATGACAACCCTCTCCAGTATTCTTGCCTGGGAAGTTCCATGCATAGAGGAACTGGTGGGCTACAGTCCATAGGGTTGCAAGGAGTAGAACACAACTTAGCGACTAAACAATAGTCCCAACAAGGTGGGTTGACATTGCTGATGGGAATCACAGGATGTGCAGATCTGGCTTCTTGAAAATGCTGATTCCTCCTACCTTCCTACAGTTTCCTCTCTTTGTGGGGAGAGAGCAAATTAGCCAAGATGGTGTGGTCAGGCTTTCTTGCCCCACGGCCTCTTGCTCTAGCCCCCTGTTTTATAAGTGACTATGTAACAGCTGTTTCAGAGGGCAACTGGCACATTCTGCTGAATATGTGCTTGGGTTCCTCAGGACTGCACTTACTTGGTTTGGATACACATACCAGCTCACCCTGACCAGAGTCAGTACTGGGTACGCTTCTAGTCATTGGTTCTCATGCTCCATTGGAAAGACCTCCTGTTGAGTGCCTGCCCCAAATAGTGTACTCTGGCCAGACTTCCATGGATTTCCCCCCTTGTAGCCACAGATGTCCTGTGTTTACCAATGTTTGCTGTTTAAATGGTTTTTTTTCTAATTCCACGTGTTTTCCAATCTCTTTTTATAAGCCCTAGACTACAACAAACACAGTTTGCACGCACACACACACACACACACCCCGCCAAAAAAAGTTGCAGAGCAGAGAATGACATTTGTCTTGCTGGAGGTTTACTTGAACATGGTGACCTGAACTACCCAGACAGCTGAGAGAACAAAGGATTCTTGACATCTAGAAGTTTGCAGCAACCAACCACACCTCCTCCCCTTTCAGTATCAAAATAAACCTGAATTTTAACTCAAGGAAGATGGTTCTTTGGGATACTAGCCCACCATTTCTCAGTTTGCTGGCTTTCCAAATAAAGTCACTATTGCTTGCCCCAACAACTTGTTTCTTGATTTGTTGGCCTGTTGTGCAGCAAGCAGTAAGAGCTTGGACTCAGTAACACCTCTGTACAGTGGAATAGTATTCAGCCATTAAAAACAACGGTTCCCTGATGGCTCAGACCATAAAGAATCTGCTTGCAATGTGGGAGAATCAGGTTTGATCCCTGGGTCAGGAAGATCTGATGGAGAACGGAATGGCAACCCACTCCAGTATCCTTGTCTGGGGAATTCCATGGACAGAGTAGCCTGGAGGGGTACAGTCCATGAGGTCTCAAAGAGTCAAACATGACTGAGCGACCAACATGCATACATTAAAAATAAAGAAGCACTGAGACATACTACAACATGGCTGAACCTTGAAAACATTATGCTGAGTGAAAGAAGCCAGACACAAAATGTCACGTAGTGTGTGATTCCCTTTATATGAAATATCCAGCATAGGCAAATCCACAGAGACAGAAAGTGGATTGGCAATTGCCAGGAGCAGGGGGATGGGGAGATAGGGGGTGCCTGCTAGTGGGTACAGGGTTGCATTTTGAGTTGATGGAAATGTTCTAGAATGAGAAAGAAAAGTGGCATGATACTGTGAATGCACTAAATGCTCTGAATTGTTCTCTTTCAAACGGTTAGAGACTTCCTTGGTGGTCTAGTGGTTAAGACTTTGCCTGCAAGGGCAGGGGGTTCAAATCAGCCTGGTTCAATCCCCGGCTGGTCAGGGAGCTAAAATCCCACATGCCTTAACAGCCAAAAAACAAACAAAAAACCCCATAAAACAGAAGCAATATTGTAACAAACTCAATAAAGACTTTAAAAATGATCCACATCAAAAAACATCTTTAGGGACTTCCCTGGTGGTCCAGCGGCTAAGGCTCCAGAGTCCCAGCACAGAGGGGCTGAAGTTCAATCCCTGGTCGGGGAATTGGATCCCACATGCCACAACTAAGACCTGGCACAGCCAGGAAAAAAAAAAAAGAAAAAACTTCAAATAAATAAAAAGGTTCATTTCATGTGAAAGGAATTTCCCACCAAATATTTTTAATGCAATGCAAAAGGGAAGGGAAAATAAACAAGCCCAGCACAACATTGCTCACTGAAGAAGCTGGCTTATGGGGACAAGGGAGTCCATTGTTATTTTCATTGTATTCTCTTTGCTTTGTGTTTAAAATGTTCTTTTTTTAAAAAAGAGATGGAGGTAAACATTAAATAGGAAAAAGGCCGCCCATGAAGGTGGGTTTGGACCAACAGAAGTGGGACAGAGGGGGCTTCTCTGTGGGAGACTGGAACCCTCAGTTCAGCAACTAGGTGAACCCCCAGGCTTCAAAGTAACTCAAAGAAAAGCCAGAGTGTGGAGGACAGAGCTGACCATGGCAAACTGTGTGACCTTGATCAAGTCACTTACGCCTCCATCACCTCCTGTTCAAAACTAGGATAATAACACTTGAGGAGGATTGTTTGGGTATAAAATGAGACATCTGATATGAAAAGGCATTGTGTGCTCTAAAATGCTCTGCAGTGTAAGATGTTATTATTGTTATGCCAGAAGCCATAAGTCTATGCAATTAGCATTGAATTTTCCTATTTTTAAATCACATGACTTGTATGAGTCACTTCATGATGAACATAAATAGCCATCCTGGTTTCTTTAAAAATCCTTTGAAAACATCAAAAAGTTCTGCTTTTTCCTTTATGCAAATGAGGCCATCCTGAGTCAACCAACTTTTAAACTCTTGTGACTTTTGCAAGAGTTGGTGACCATGAATAATAGGTTGGCCTCAATTATTCACTGCTTCCTGTATCCCTCTTTGTCACAGCTTATTGTGAGTGTTATGTATTTCCTCAACCCTTGACTTTGGACTTACTTTGATCAACAGCATGTGGGCGGAAGTGGCAATAAGCCAGTTCCAAGCCTGGGTCTAAAGAGACCTCCCATGCCCCACCTGCCCTCTTGCTTCTCAAAAGAGTTGTCAGCATGAGCACAACTATCCCAGAATAAAGACAAAGACCTATGGAGCTGAGTCAACCAGTCGAGCCCTATCCAGATTGGCCAACCCAGCAGACTCAGAGGTGCATGGGTATATATGTCTATTGCTTTAAACCACTGAGCTTTAAGCTTCCGTGGTGGCTCAGATGGTAAAGAATCCACTGGCAATGTGGGAGACCCAGATTCAATCCCTGGGCCAGGAAGATCCCCTGGAGAAGAGAATGGAGAATCCCACGGACAGAGTCACCTGGCAGGCTACATTCCATGTGGTCACAAAGAGTCGGACACGGCTGAGCAACCAACACTTCACTTCTCTTCATTTCACTTCCCTTCACTGAACTTTGGGGTAGTTTTTAATGCAGCACAATTGCAACAATCTCTTGAGAGTCCCTGGGACCGCAAGATCCAACCAGTCCATCCTAAAGGAAATCAGCCCTGAATATTCACTGGGAGGGCTGCTGCTGAAGCCAGAGCTCCAATACTTTGGCCACC